GCATTTTGAAAGAGCAATTAAATATATATATATATTTATATATATATATATTACCTGCACTAAAAAAATTAAATAAAATGAATTATGTGAATACAGTAATATAAGCAATCTCTCTTTTTCTCAAACACACACGCACACACACACGCACATAAACAATAACAAAAAAAAAAAAAATAATACGAAAACAAAAAAAAAAAAAAAACAGATAAAAACAAATAATACGTTTTGTGATCATCCAAAGTAACCGGTCTCAACCCCAGCATCTTAGACGACAAATAATTTGCAACTTTTTTTGCACATGCATTAGCTTTCTTGTCCTTCCGATCGCCGCCTACCGGAGCAAGGGTGGCGATAGCAACCCTCGCGTTGCAAATGTCTGCGACAGCAGAATCCAAGTCGGCAAGGGAGTCGATGTTAGTGAAAACGGATGGAAAAGAGTCATCAATTCCGCGTCTCCATTTTGGCGCGAATGCAGCGGCGCTTAACAAACAGCGTGTACATATTCCAAGGGAATCAGCCTTAGGATCGAGCGGTTTGACTGCGCACGTCTTTAACGAATCGAAAGACAATGAAAAAGCGCAGACGAAGAAGTTCAACTTGGACAAGTCAACTCGCACAGGGAACAGTTTTCACCGTCAACCTTCATCTGCGGTTTTGACCTCAGTTAAGGCCAATCAATCTCACAACCACTGTCATCAAATCGAAATGAAAGTATCCACACCAACAACAACAACAACACTTCAGCCTGAGCCTTCAGTAACATCCCGGGGCGCTGTCATCGACAAGTTGTCCTCGATTAAAAGCACGAATACGCAAATAATAAAATATTTTTCTTTAAGGCAAGCGCGTGGATCGGCGTCAGATGATTCTTCCGCATCAGTTCTGCTCTCCAGTAAAAGATGCATCGATGATGACAACGAGAAAAGATTACCTGGGATAGGAGCAAAGAATAATTATTTTTATACTGACGATGGAGTATTAACCGGTATTATACACAGGAGCAGTGATTTTGGATGTAGTAAATCCGATAGAAAAATAAAAGGGACCAAACCAAAGTCAGCTTTCAAAATAATCAAAACTGTAGGCATTGACGAAACCTTAACCCTTCACAGTTTAAATGGAATTGATACTCGGAAAAACAACCAGTTGGATTCTACCTCGGATCTTAGATCCGATGCGGAAATCGGATCATTTGATATGAAAAGCAACAACAACAACAATAATAATAATAATAATAATGAGGATGTAACTAATCACGGATCACTCATTAACCAATACATGAAGAATGTTGATTCTAATCAGAGGTGTCCAACTAGTTCTTGTAAAAAGAAAAAGCATGACATGTACCATCACGTGGTTTCGACGTCATCGGATCTCAAGAGCACTTCACTATCTAGCGGCAAAATTGTTTATAATAACAATAATAGTGGGGGCGGCGTAAACATCAACACTTATACCAGTAAGCTGAACTGCGCCACAACTGTTCTTATGTCACCCAAGAAGCAACTTGCATTGCAGCATCAACAACAGCAATTGCAGTTGCAGCGACAGAAGTTGCAACTCCAGCAGCAGCATCTGTCCAATCTCAAGGAGAGTAAGACTGGAGCAGAGGACAAACCGGAGTCGGTGACCGGAAGTGGTGGTGAGTTCTCTAGCAATCGTTTGGGCGGACAGGTTGGCGGCACGGAAAGAGACGAGCAAAAAGCGCACGGTCGGAACGAAAGGAGTGGTGGCGGTGAGCAGCGCAGTGAAAAGGGAATTGACGAACAACGGGGTCTTTCAAATAGAGAAGAAGCAGGTAGCGACGACTATGCTAACGGTGACAGCGATGGCGATGACGACGATAAAGATGACGACGACGATGATGACAACGACGAAGAGATGGAACGAGACGAAGATGACGACGGCGATGATGATGATGATGATGACGACGAGGATGATGAAGAAGATGACGTCGGAGAAGACGGCCAGTCGAGACGTAATGGCGGAAAGACTGGTAAAAATGCCGATACAGTGATGAGGCGTAGCCAAATAGTTGGGGCAGAGCGACGAGGATTTGGAACGTTGCAAGGAAAGGAGGACGAAACCCCAGGTGTGACGGGCGATGACCCGCGACAGTACGTTTCGACGGAGGGAAACGGACACAGCGTCAGCAAGCGACAACGTTTGACCAACCAATCCGTGAAGAGCGACGCGCACTGGCGCGGTTCCGCCTCGATTTCGGAACCGCGATCCCAGGATCCGGATTCAGAGTCTCTCCCCTCTGCCCAAACAACAACGCTCCTCTCTATTTCTTCCTCTTCTCCCTCCCTGGCCACACTATCACTTACGTCGTCTGTAGCACCGCCGACTGTCGAGACGAAAGTGACCCGGACAACAGACGCAATGTCCCCTCAACAAGACTCGTATTTCATTTCGGATCCTTACCGTTCGTTCCATACACGAAAACCAAACCAATCTCATTCCACGAAGCCCCTTATTGTCGAGGTGGGAGAAGCTGACGGTGAACGTGTTGTTAGTGTAGCTGCAGACAATTGTGAAGCCAAAGCAAAGAATGACCTTACTTCATATCTTGCTAGTGGGGGTGGTATTAACGATAACTCTCTTTCTAAAGAGACTAATAGCATTAGTAATTCTACTACTACTACTACTACTACTACTACTGAAAATACTACTACTACTACTAACGTGTCCAGTGTTGATAATAGTAGCAGAAAGACGACTAATATTGCAACCATTGATAGTAATAGCAGTACTGTTGGAGTGACGCGTGATATTGAAAGTGAACAAAACAAAGATGGCACAAGAATAACCGGGTTAGTTAATTTTTCATCTATGACTAGAGTTGTGTCTCCGGCATCCTCGTCTTCAACAAGCTCTTCCCATTCTCAAAATATAAACAGTAACATCAACAGTAACGCCAATTTTAACCATCTCCGGGCCAGCAACAGTAGCTGTAGGGATAATTTACATTCTGATGCTACATCAGTCGGGGGTTTTGGTTCTTTAGTCCGAAATCAGGCGGGCGTACCCGGAACTGAAGGTTTTACATCAGGAGCAGCAACAGGAGGGTTAGGACTAGGAGCGGGGGATGATGTGGGTTTAAGCGCTCCTCCGCCAGCACATCTACATTCTCAACTAGTACCACCGACACACGCACATTTCGGGCTTCGCCACTCAGCATCCCCGCAGCAGGCCTGGCCGGCCACCACCCCACTGCCAACTTCATCTAAGTCTTACAGCGTAATACAGACACAACAGACGCTAACAGCTCTGCCGGCTTCGTCTTTCCAGTCCTTAATTAACAATCCAAACGAACCCCAACCATTACCGTCGCAACAACAACAACAACAACAGCAACATTATCAGCAAACGGAAGAAGTTCACCCCATTAACCGTTATCCTAGTGTCCATCAAAACCCAACACCCTCACCACAGCTTCCAACACCCCAAAGACAACTCCAAACAAGCCAACTCTACGATACAGACGGATCGTTCGAACGTCTGAAATGTGACGAAATTGACCGCTACCTAAAAAGCATTGAGCCAGGGGTCACATTTGTATCGTTACCCCTAACTTACAGTCATCAACCATCAGAAGGAACAAGCCTGACCACACTGACCAATCTAAACACCCAGCAAATGTCGTCGGGTACGATTCACCCTTACCCAATGGTACTGTCCAGCCTCGGAGGCTTAGTCGGTGGCCTCGGATCCATGGGAGCTGTCGGAAGCCCAGCCGGACACTCAGCTATTGGGATTAACGGTGTGATAACAATGCCACCACCGAGTTATAACGAGACGGCCGCAGCTGCTGCCGCTGCTGCAGCAGCCGCCGCATCTCTCGGGGTGGTACCCTCAGGTACTTTTATTACATCATCCGCTAATCCTGTGTCTCCATCTTCCTCGTCGGCATCTTCCTCGTCTCTAGCCGTTGGAGGGGCTCCAGTTACCAGCAACAATCCGTCATCCACCCCAACATCATCGTCAGCGTCGGTCGGTAACGGGCCTCCACTGGGAACATCACCATCGCCTACGGGCACCCTGACAGAACTTCATCCACCTGTCGGGGTGACATCCCTTGGACCGTCCAACAGTCATATTTTGACCACTCTGTCACCTAACCAAAACCAGCACAACACAACAACGGTCTCGCACCACCCCCACTTCCAACCACACCCTCATTCAACCATGCAAGGTAGTCCCCATCAGGCTTCACCTATGCTATCAACCTTGAATTATTCTATGTATCTTAATGGAGGATCGAGTACTGGAAATAATAGCTTGTGTGCTGACTTTGGCTCCCCAATTTCACTGTCTGGGACGAGTGGTCAGCGTATGACATCGATCAACTCTTCCTATCCGAATCAAGCGATTGTTTCTTTCGGCGATGGGGGAGCAGATAGCCCTATTCCACCGCTTACGCAGTCATCCCTGACAATAGAGGTTCAAACTCCGAGACCCAGCTCTGGTCGATCGGAGTCACTGATGGACCGGAATCTGAGGCACTACAATTACCATCCTGGGATGGAAGCGCCCTGGGATACCTATTTGCCTCACGATACGAAGACTCTAAACACAGGTAAGTCTTTCATTTCTAACTTCACTTAGCAAACTTAGTGTTTTTAGTCTTTGTGTTTTCCGCTTTCAAGGAAATATACTAAAATTAATTTTTACATGGTTGTTTTTCGAAAGGTCTGTGTTTGAACATTTACACATGCATATATGCATATATATATATATACGCACACACGCGCGTAAGCGCACACACACGCATATATATATATATATATATATATATATATATATATATATATATATATATATAAATAAATATATATGTGTGTATGTTTATTTTTGGGAATTGGCAAAATATAACATTCGTAGTCGGAAAACGAATTTTTAACATGAATATGAAACATCTAAATATGAGTAGTCGTGTAACAGTAAATATATTTAAATTTCAGTTGATGATGTCAGATATTTTATAAATAACTAATTATGGCTTGTAAAAATATGAAAATAAATATATATATAAATATATACATACACAAAAACGCACATATATATATATATATATATATATATATATATATATATATATATATATAGTGTATTTAGGCAGCAACCCTCTTTTTTATACATGTTCCATTAAAGACGAGAGACAAGGTACTGCGATTAAGCTTTTATTTAGTTTATCTTGTGTTCGAACAAGTGTTTTCATCTGAACCCATTTAAACACACACACACACGCACACACGCACACATACACAAAATTACCAGACTCCATCCGAAACATACTACTAGAAAATACAAATATAATAACCTCATTTACGTGTAAAAAAGAAAAAAAACGCTAAAAAAAATAGTGGAAGATTTTATTTAATAAAAAAGTAAAATTTTCTAACACTCCAGTATGACATATGCGAAATGTTTTCGCAAAATAAAACAGACCCCATACATCCAGTTAAAAAGCCAAAATAAAATCATCCTTGATCATGGCTAAAATTATAGTCGAAAGCGCTCGAAATTACGAAACATTTGGAATTTTTTGTTACATAATATCCATAAAATTAAAACAGTTGTTGGAACACAAACAATTAAAAACGTTTAATCGTAGTACCATGTCTGTTGTCTTTAATTAAAAAATGTATAAGAGTGACTGCTGCCTAAATACATAATATATATATATATATATATATATATATATATATGTATATATGTGTATATGTTATGTGTGTGTGTGTGTGTGTAAAATAAATATTCTAACGACGAAGAAAGACATTTTGAAAAAAAAATCTGTTATTGGTTGAATTTCAAATTTATGGAAATGAATATGACAGAAATCTTAAAAACTTTCCACACACACACACACACGTATATATATATTATATATATATATATATATATATATATATATATATATATATATTATTAGGATATAAATATTGCTGACTTTCCGTATAATATTAGAAAGTTTTAATATAATATATATATATATATATATATATATATAGATAGATAGATAGATAGATAGATAGATAAATAAGTAAATAAATAGTATGTTTTTGCTAATGTAAAATATTTTGTAATAGAATATACGCTTCTAGGAATTATGTCATGGAATTCCCATATTCATTTTCATATTTAACTAAAATCTAACTTCGCAAATTATAAAAAATGAAATTGAAATAATATTATTTTGATGCAAAATGTCTATACTAAAAAAAAAAAAATTTAACCAATTTGATTTTAGCTGAAAATATATGAAAAAATTCAAAAAGAAAATTATAATAATAACTTCCATTATCAAACACTTCTGAATACGGTTATTTGTTCTTTTTCATTTAATTTTGTTTTTATTTTTATTTATTTATCTATGTATGTATGTATTTTTGCTTATAAATATCTAAATAGTTAAACTCGCAAATTGATAACCCAAATTTATAATTGTAAAACTGGGTTTTGAAATGAACGGGTAGAAAAAATCAACTTTATTTTACTTATGATCATTAACTGTTTATATGCCCTTCCAATTCCGATATTGTCAATGTTTTGATATAAATTGAAAAATTGAAAGTTTAATAAGAGAATTATATTTTAAAATTAATATGTAAAAATGCAGATATATGGAAATATAAGACTGTTGCTGCCACTCTATTTTATAGAAGAAAATACTTACAGAAAAAATAAATTCTGGTGTTTTTAAAGATTTTTTTTTTAAGTAATTTGATAAAAAAATAAAAGGCAATTTAAATTTACTACAATGAATATAAACACACTAAAACTAAATATACACAGATATATTTACATCTCACGTTCTGTGAAAGTTGTATTCATGTGAATATGTCTGTATCATTAAACAATTATTATATAAATATCTACGGTACATCTCTGTATATCTACATCTCAATCTATCTATCTATCTATCTATCTATCTATCTATCTATCTATCTATCTATCTATCTATATTTGATGGATTTATGCACATGCAAACAGACAATATAAAATGGGTGTGGTGAAAAGTTATCAGCTCGTTCAGGTAATATTTTGCTTAAATTTGATGTTTAGAAATTTGGCCATTTTTGGGAAGTAGACCATGTTGCGAATTTTGAAAGTACCCATCACCGGAACGTGTTTAATGTGCATGTAAATAAATCTAGATGATCCATCTTATATCTATCTATCTATCTATCTATCTATCTATCTATCTATCTATCTATCTATACACACACTCATATACATATACATACATATATATAGACACAAATACACACACACAAATACACACACACACGCATATATATATATATATATATATATAAATATATATATATATATATATATATATATATATATATATATATATATATATATATATATATATATATATATGCATGGGACAACAAAATTTACCAGTCAAAAATTTTTCCTCAATATCTATTTAATATACACAAGCTTTATCACCACTATTGAACACTTTTAGCCATGAATAAAAAGAATACATTAAAACTATATTTTTATCATTTATATATATTTGATTGCATGTAGATATTTAATCTCACAATAAACGCATTTTAATTTAATTTAAAAAGTTTCCGAGATTTTATTTAACATATTTATATATATATATATATTATATATATATATATATATATATATATATATATATATATATATTTTACTAAAATTAATTCCTTCAAAAGATTGTTACTCAGAAAAAGAAATAATAAATTTATTTGTTTCAAAGAACAAATCCTTTGAAAATTACTGTGTGAAAATGGAGGAAAATTAATGCATTAAAAAATTTTTTTTTTTCATAACGTTATTCTTATTCTAGATGAATATTTACACATACATATAAAAGTTCCTCTGAAATATATTTCTAAAATTATCATATGAAAAATATATTTTATATATATATATATTTTTCATATAATATTTTTATATAAAATATATATATATATTATAAAAATTTATTTTTAATTAATAATCCGTTTTTTAATAGATATTAATTTATTTCTTGATTTTAAACTGAATTTTTAATATTTGCCACATGAAACACAAAGAAAAACACACACACACACACACACACACATATATATATTTATATATATATATATATATATATATATATATATATATATAATATATATATTGGTGATAACTAAAATTGGTTTAAATTTTTTTTATTTAAAATTTTGTGGAATCTTAAATAATTCTCGTAAAAATTGGGTATATTGGTATATTCCCAAATCCTTTTGATAAAAATAGGACAAAAGAATATACAATATCTAAATAAATATGTATCAAAATATCATATACATTATTTTATTATTGAAAGAACTGGACATCAAAATATATATAAAAAATATGTAACAATAAATATATATATATATATATAATTTATATATATATAAATATATATATTTATAAATATAGTTATTATAAATGTTCATTTCAATGTTATGAAAATTGTTTTGATAATTATTTAATTCTTACTAAAATATTTATATATAAAATACTTTATAAATATAAATAAATATAAATATATATATATATTTAATAAATATATTTATATAAATTAAATATGAATATATATATATATATATATATATTTTATATATATATATATAAATAACATTATATAAATATATATATATGTATATATATATATATATATATATATATATAAATATGATATATTATAATATATCATTATGTTTGTAATGTATATATATGTGTTCAATATTTTGTAAATATAATGTACATTAAATATATATATATATATATATATATATATATTTATATATTTCTTTTGAATAAATATTATATAATATATTTGTAATCATTTATATATATAAATATGAAAATAGATATATATATATATATATATATATATATATATATATATACGAATAGTTTATTTTGTTTCAGGAATTTAGTCAGTTGTTTGTTTAAGTTTTTTTTTGATATTTAAACATATTCTTTTCTATATATATGAGCTTTTAAAAAAAAAAAAATTGAATTTTTCTACCAAATTATTTTGGATCACCAAAATTCAAAGAATTTTGAAACATGTTAAAAATTAAATATCTTATAATTTCTTTACTCATTCTCTTACTATTAATGATATATGTATTCTGTTCAAACTCAATTATTTGTTATTTCATTTCCTCATATGAACTTTTCTGACATTTTTTGTTTGAAATTTTCATTTCTAAAAAAGCAAGTTAAAAAAAAATTTACAAAAATAAAAAACGTTTAAGAATGTAAATTCTAAAAAATATGCTTCTGTTCAAAAATAGTTTCATCACCAGAGAAAACATGTCTTTCCATTGTATAAAATAACCAAAAAATTCAAATTCTTTATTTAAAAAAGCATGATTCTTTTTTGATTTTTTTAAATAAACTCTTTTTAAAATATAAACATTAAATTAAATGGAATTAATTCAGTAGAAATTAAATATATGGAATTTATAAAATGTTTAAAAGTATTTTCAAATTTCAAAAATTTGTTGAAAAAATTCAGATAAATCGAAATAAAAAACAACCAATCAGCTGATGAAATATTTCCAAAATTTGGATCGCTTAAATTTACTCAAATATAAAATATAAATCTTCGATATTTAAATTATGATAATATATTTTTTGAAGTAGAAAGTTTTATTTAACTTCGACTAAAATGTCATAACAAATTATTTTCAATTTTTGACTATGTATAAATATAATCTATGATAATTTTTACTTTAAAATATATTTATATAATATATATATATATATATATATATATATATATATAAAATGGAATATATTATATATATATTATATTTATTAAAGACATTTTTTATGTTTAACGTTGTTATTTATAGATACAAGTATTTAAGCAAATGCTCTGTTTATGATAAACAGTATTAAATAACATTTACCGGCCTGAATGTCCGAGAAATTTTCATAGAAAATATTCGTTCTTTGACAGGATTCGAACCTGCATCCTATACGGAACCGTCATTTACGCTGACGTGCCTTACCTCTGGGCCACAAAGAACCATTTCGGTAGACAAGGTCGAATTTACTGCTTATAAACTTCAATCTTCCATGAA